TCACAGAATCACAGAATCTTCTAGGTTGGAAGGGACCTTAAAGATCATCTTGTCCAACCATCAACCTAACTGACAAAAATAGACACCCACACAACAAACAAGGAACATCATCACTAAACCATACCTCCCAGCACTACATCAACCCGTCTTTTGAACACCTCCAGGGATGGTGCCTCAACCACCTCCCTGGGCAGCCCATTCCAATGGCTGATAACCCTTTCAGTGAAAAAATTTTTCCTAATATCCAGCCTGAACCTACCCTGGCGCAACTTGAGGCCATTTCCTCTTGTCCTGTCGCCTGTGACTTGAGAAAAGAGACCGACCCCCATCCTCACAGAATCACATGGGGTTGGAAGGGACCTCCAGAGATCATCTAGTCCAACCCCCCTGCCAAAACAGGTCCACCTAGAGCAGGTTGCACAGGAACGAGTCCAGGCAGGTTTTGAATGTCTCCAGAGAAGGAGACCACCACCTCTCTGGGCAGCCTGTTCCTCCACCACCCTCAAAATAAAGAAGTTCCTCCTCATGTTTAGGTGGAACTCCTTATATTCAAGTTTGTGCCCATTTCCTCTTGTCCTATCCCTGAGCGCCACTGAAAAAAAGATATGGGAAATACTCATTGCTTTCTCTGTGCAAATCTGGGCAGCCCGTTCCTGTGCTCTACCACCCTCAAAATGAAGAAGTTCCTCCCCATTCCACCACCCTCAAAATAAAGAAGTTCCTCCTCATGTTTAGGTGGAACTCCTTATATTCAAGTTTGTGCCCATTTCCTCTTGTCCTATCCCTGAGCGCCACTGAAAAAAAGATATGGGAAATACTCATTGCTTTCTCTGTGCAATATACAGTTAGAAAATAGTGTAAAAAAAACCCACAGGAGAATAACCAGGCACGAGGTCCTCTGCTAACTGGGGTGTGTTTCTCTTCCTTTCAGTCCACCCTTGGATTTATTGCCTTGGTAATCAGCACCCTGCACACACTCACCTACGGCTGGTCGAGGGCCTTCGATGAGAACCAGTACAAATTCTACCTGCCTCCCACCTACACCCTCACGCTGCTCGTCCCCTGTACCGTCATCCTGGCAAAAGTCGTCTTCAGTTTGCCCTGCGTCTGGCAAAGACTTCTGCGAATCAGGAGGGGCTGGGAGAAGGGAAGATACGTGAAGTTCATCCTGCCCAGCGCAACGGGGGAGTACTCCAGCGGGGAGACCTCTAGCAACGTCTAAAAGGGAGCCCCGGCTGTGAGAGAGGATTTCTTCAAAGCACTATCGACATTTCTATAAAGGTGTTTCTTTTTCTTAAATATATGTATGTTTTGGTATAATTGTATTGTGGGTAAACAATAAAATCTGGTGACTTTAGCAAATGGATGAGCACGAAAATAGTTCAGACAGTTGCTAAATTATATTGCTGATTTGCTAGGACAGTTATTGCCTTAAAAATGGCCATGAAGGCCAAGCTAAGCAGCACTAATATGCCTGGGAAACTGATGGGCTCTGTTCATCAGATCAGTCACTTGAGGGGCTGGCTGGCAGCTCCTCGGACCAGAGCTTCTCGGTTGCTTCCCTGGCTGCTCTCATAAATTTCAATGCTTTTTGGTTTGGTTTGTTGTTGTTTTTTTAAATATAAAATAGCACAGAGTTTCTGTGTTTTATGACAGCAAAGACATCCTGCCTCTTGAGTGTCTGGACCAATCAAGGCAGTGAGGTTGAGAAAGATGAATCGTCTCTGGTTTTGGTCTCCTCAATGAACTCTATGGACAAGTAAGAAGAGCAATATCCGTGTTATGTAGCATCTACAGATTTTACTAAAAGCATCCAAACCTGACAGCAAGTCTAAATAACCCCGTTCTCTCAAATACAGAGAGCACTGCTGGTCCTGGGAGCTGTGCCTGGTGCACGTTTATAAGCTATGGAAATAAAGCACTTTTTCCAGCAGTATAAAAGCATTTGAAGAGAGTGGTGTCCCTCAACTCACACATCTGGTCTGCACTGCTGGCTCCAAGATGACAGCTGCTGCTGCTGCATGTTCTCTCTTTTACTAAGCCAAAGTTTCAAGCAGTATTTGATGGAAACAGAGCAAAGATAATGATAGGGAAGACCTGCTGCTTCACAGAATTACATGGAGAAAACCAAGGCCTTCCAGCTGGCCTTCCAGCAAATAACAGGGTGAAGCTTTTAGAAATCATTGTCACCTGAACGTGCCCACTTATACAGACAAAACAGTAGCTCTAAACCCACTGGTTTCACCAGCAAGGACAAGATCTTTGAACAGTCTTGCAAAGCGAGCAGCAAGTCTTGACCACAACATGAAAATACAGCAGTTGTACATTTTGGGCACAGTCCTTCATTGCCTTGCACCTTAAAAAGCAACGAGCTAGATTGCAAAGCAGGTATCAAATGCTCTTCTGCCTTCATACCCACTTTGGACAAGGTACAGGGCAATGAAGATTTCTGTCCTAATGTCATTTTCCACCCGTCATTTCCTATCCCTTCAAGCTCTTGCTGTTTATCAGAATAATGCTTTAGGTTTTGGACATACAAATCACCAAGCAGAGAGTGGACAGCCATTCACAAAGGCTCATTTAAAAGCAGGCAATCGGGATGACACAAGAAGACTACCTCAGCAAGGTCAGATACAAGGACATGGCTGGAATAGCCTCATTTTCCTACCGTTAAGTCAAAGACACCACTCAGTGTTCAGTATTGCTCTGAAAAATAACAGCTGTCAGCATCAATGAGGTACGGTTTGTGGGACAGGGAAGTACTTGTTACTAGACCACAGTTAATAGAAACATGGGGGGAAATGATCAGCTTCGGGGCACATAAGCCCTTCTACAAGCCACCACTGCTTCCGTAACCTGGATGATTTCTACACAGATGGATCTTAAGAGTTCCCTTTTTAGCCTCAAATAACTACAGTGAGTAACGTTCTCCAAATATTTCTCAAGCTGCCAGTGATGATACTGAGGGATTTCAGTTCTCGCCTAAGGCTTACACTAAAGTCTCCAAACGTCACTTCTTTTCACTGAATATAAAGAGATCAGCATGAGGGAAATGCCCAGATTTCATCATCAGCTGATTATTTCTTCTTTTGGCAAAGAATGTACCATTCTTTGCCTTTAGAAAACTGTGGTTATTCAGGTTTCCCCATCCATCTCCACAACCTGGCCCAGACCAGCACCTGATCGAATCACTCACCAAGCAGATTGATTACCTGGCCCTGTTTATTTGTGTTTGAACTGTGTGGGTTAAGTTTCCATGTGGATTTGAGACAGTTTCACCCGAGTATAATTCCACCCACTCCAGCTTAACTCATCCTTGAGGGAAAACTGGATTCAGCAAGTTTGATCTTTCAGTCTTCTCCATTTCATCATCAAGCAAAGTCAACATAAACGCACCGTTTTATACATTTTCTGGTTACAATAGTATATTCCAATGCCTCTTTTTTCCACCTAAGCTTCTTTTCACATCGTTAGGTCAAGCAAAACTACTGCCTGGTGGCAAAAAAGAAAGGAAAAAAAAAAGATTAGGAGGCAGGGAAAGAGTATTACACAAACTAAACAAACTTTGTCTCCAGTGGGAAAGGTGTGGCTTTATTGTGAGTCGCCGCAAAGTTAAAGACTCACCTTTCTGCCCAGCAGAAGTAAAGTTTGTACCTTTGCTTTGTTTACCTGCCTTTCACACCCACGTACCCTTTCCCACTGGTGGCAAAGGGATGGTTTTCATGGGCAGGAGCAGAGTCAGGCACCCAGACCTACCTGAGGAGCTGGCTGCCTGTGTGAGCCAGGATGGTGCTTTGCAGGTGGACACAAGCCCAGATGGACAGAGGAGCCAGCTCAAAATCCCCGTGGCTACCGCAGCTCCACAGCATCTAAAAAAAGGCTGATCAAGTGTCTCCAGGTAACGCCTGTGCCAACACACTGCCCGGACAGTCACCGTCCCTTTTTAAAGACTGAGACCCATTCCTGTAAACGCAGAGCAGCATTTCAGATGGTGCCCTCTGGATGCATCTGGTCCTTAAAGCCTCCACACAACAGTTCCAGTCATTTCTTCTGATTCTGAAACGCTGAAAAGTAGTTCAAGGAATTTTTCAATTATCTTTCCCTACATATTTTTTGATGTGGTTGGGGGGGTTAGTGAGGTTAGCTTAAAATTTACCGATTAACTGGTTTTGTATTTGGAGTTTCTTTATATATGTACACACATACCTATATATTATTGCAGAATATACAGCTGGAATGTAAATTCTTTATATTTTTATTTTCTGTATTGCCTACTATGTGCCTCTGGGATATGTAAGAACCAACTGAAAAGCTGTAAAGAGTAAGGTCAGTTTTAATCACTGGCATCAGTAGCTATATAAAAAATATTCAGGTCTATATAATTATATCAGAACTCATTTGGGTCTTTTTTTTCCCTCCTCACCCTAAACAATACCATTAGTTTAATGGCAGTAGCAGCGAGCAGTGTGATTATCCAGAATTTAACCACTAGGAAATAAAACCCACTACAGCCAGCAGCTGGTAGAGTCTCGTTAGCAAGATAATAAGTGGAAATGATCATTGCTGTGACCCAGTGCACCAGGGCTTCTATTACAGAGTTCCTGTGCACGTACACAAGTGTGTACAGACAGACACTTCATCGCAAGAGACTAGTGATATTACAAAGCAGTTGTAGCCCAGGATCAAACAAGCTTAATTCGCTAAACAAAAAGTGCTGTTGATTCCGCGTTCAAGGAAAAGGGAGTTACAAATGAGGGTTTATGGGACTGGAAAGAAAAAGGGAGTTTTAATACTATCAATTTGTTCTCCATTTCTTAAGTCACTTCTTCACAGAAGTGGCAAGCCAGATCAACCAACTTCTGGATCCGCAGCGTTGCATTTTAATGAGCTAATTTGTAAGTTGATTTTAATGAGTTCATTTAAATTCCTGTGCTGAAGATTAACCTCTGCAGGTACAGTTCTCTCACTCCTTCTGTTTTATAATACAAGGCTTTTAACAGTGCAATTGGTTTCTTGCTCTTCAGGGATTTACTTATAAAGTGATATATCAAACTACAGTTAAATCTTTCGGGGAGTGCACTTGCCTCAGCACCTCTATGCAATATATCTCCTCCAGGCTCTCCAAGACAGCCACGATCTGCTACAACCAGCCAGAGAAGTCTGGTGTTATCCTGGAGCTCAAAATTTCATGCACTGAGCTAGCAGGATCAGGTTTGGGGAATGAGATTCGGTACAGTAGGACAGTTTGCTTTTATCCCTTTATTGAGCCTTAATAAGCAGCATCAGTTTGGCAGAATTTCTGCGCGAGGTTTTTTAGTGCAAGTCAGAGCCATGGTTATTTTAAAGCAGAGCATACGATACCCAGCAGGAAGATACCATCTATGATTAGGGACAGTTCTTGTCAGCAGAGCGTGTGCAGGTCTTCCATAACCAAAGACTAAAAATAACCATTGTGTGTGGCCAGTGAGGAGGATCACGTATTACAAGCCATAGTATTACAGGAACCTTTCAAAGACTTAAAGTGGTGCTACTGCAGTCCTCCTAGAAGGATAATCTGCTTCAGATTTAGAAACCTCAGCACTGGAGGATCCACTACAGCTGCTGCTCAGCTGGCTGGTTACTCTCGTTATCTGCTTCCCATATCTGATCTACAATTAGCTAGCCTCAGCTTAAACAGCTGTCTGCCTTTAAGTGCCTGTCTCATTCCAAGCTCTAGAAAACCAAGTTGCTGCGCAAGTTTCAAGCCTGCTCTCCACAAAACCTGGTTTATTTGATGTGGGAGGGATGGGGCAGGGGAGCAGCGTGAAGAAATGGCCAGGATACTAACTGCTGGGGTATAAGGCTTTCATCTCTAGATTGATGCTTTGACTCTAAAGCCAACCGATGTCCTCTCGTTGCATGGACATAAATATATGTATAGAGCCAAAGATGAGACCTCAAAGTAGTGTTAAAAACATATCCCGGTATCACACCTTCCATTTTAAAAATCTGAGCTCTAGAAAACCAAATTGCTGCGCGAGATTCAAGCCTGCTCTCCACAAAACCCGGTTTATTTGATGTGGGAGGGATGGGGCAGGGGAGCAGCGTGAAGAAATGCCCAGGATACTAACTGCTGGGGTATAAGGCTTTCATCTCTAGATTGATGCTTTGACTCTAAAACCAACCGATGTCCTCCAGTTGCATGGACATAAATACATGTATAGAGCCAAAGATGAGACCTCAAAGTAGTGTTAAAAACATATCCCGGTATCACACCTTCCATTTTAAAAATCTTGCTTGACTGAAGAAAAGGAGCTTCCCAAACTGGCCCTAAAGAGTATGTTCTCTGGGCTTCAGGTTAGCAAGCAGAATGAGACCTTCCCAAGATGTGTAATGAGAGCAGACAGCAGCAGTTCTCACAGTACTGGCTGACTCCTGGCACACACCACTAAGTCACCTGCCCGAGAGCAGAAATGGGCATACAAAGGTAAATTCTTATATTAATCTGTCACACTGAATGTATTCAGTACCCATTGAAGCTTCTGGCTAGCAGCTTTTGGGCCAGTGCAAAGAATCTATGGCTAGCATAGAGAGGGTGCCAGCAAACAAAAGGTATGATCCGTATCTGATCAAAAATATCCTACCTACAGGAAGATGAAAGCTCTATGCCCCATCCCCTCCCCTACTACATCACCAGCCCAAACACCCACTCTCCTCTCAGCTATCTATCACCCACACCATGCCTCAAGACCAGGTCCCTGTCCCCAGCGAAGCAGAACTGGGTGCTGCGCAGAGGGAAGAGAAGCGAGACCAACACCTCCCAACCAACCTGCAGCACCATGCTGGGGGCACACAGTGGTCTTCCCCTGAAATGGCACAAGGCTGCACAGCAGCAACCTGCCATTCATCACCGCTGGATTGAGTGGTGTTTGAGGGTGAAAGCCACAGTTTGGAATCAATAAGCAGTTCTCCTACACAGCAAGCTGTGGTAAACCCCTACCGTGACACCAGGCTCGAAGAATGGAACTTAAGAAGCAGCCCAAAAGAGAAGGAAGAAAGAATTTAGGTCACCCAGGCTCTACCTGTCACTTTACAGAATCACACAATGGTTTGGGTTGGAAGGGACCTTAAAGATCATCCACCTCCAACCACCCTGCCCTGGGCAGGGACACCTCCCACCAGACCAGGGTGCCCAAAGCTCCATCCAGCCTGGCCTTGAACACCTCCAGGGAGTCTTCAAGAGTCTCCCAGGTACTTGCAAGCTGCTGCAAGAAAAGTGACAGGAACCTCAGCAGAAAGCTCCGTCACACCTTGTCCCTGTGCAACAATTCAAATTTACCCTGTTAACCAGGCAGCACCTCTGCACACTTCAGTCACTGACAGCACAAAGCTGTACACGGGGCTGGGCTCCAAAACCCATATCCCATCTCAGCCCGTCACAGCTCAGAAAGCGTGGCCCAGGGAACACAGTGCCAGAGTCTCCTCAGCCCTTGTACCACAAGGAAGAAATAGTAGAGGCTTAGGGTCAGAAGCATGGAGGACACACTTGTTGTGTGTTTAAGCGGTGTTGCTGGAGATGTCTTGCTCTGCTTTGCACGTTCTGGGTGGTTTTCCTTGTGTTTAAAAAAAAAAAAGTCTACTTTACAAAACCTCAGCAAATTAACACTGATCTTTTCCAGCCAGTTCTTCAAATGAATGTTCTGCAAATGCCTCCTCACAGCATGAAAAGATTTAGATACGCTGGAACTGGCTCCGCAAAGGATGCTCTCCAACAAGAGGAATTTAAGCACTGATACCAGTTCAATTTGCCGCTTTTTGATTTTAATATAAAAAGAAATACTTTCTGCAAGGAAAGATTCCGCTTTCATCACCAGAACCCTAGTACAGCCTTTGCAGGCTAAACCAATTCACAGATAAGCACTTTTCACAAACATTACATATTTCTTGGCTTACACAGGTTTCGGAGAACGAAAGAACAGGCTGTGCTGACATCTGGTGGCTTTCTCTGCAGACAAAGACAGTTTATGGCAATAGGTCTTGGCTTTTCGCTGCATTTTTTTTGCATTCCTGATGTAACTTCTCTCCTTTCCTTCCAAGACACAAAGCATTATGATAAAAACATTTTTGTTTCCACTGTCCTGTGTAAGTCCTCCTGTAAAGCAAGAAAGGATCCTCTGTTGTGCACTATTAGTGCACAGTGTAGGAAAGGTCTCTTTATTTGAAAGCGTATTTCTTCATTAATATAAAAAAAAAAATGTACACTATTAGTGCACAGTGTAGAAAAGGTCTCTTTATTTGAAAGCGTATTTCTTCATTAATATAAAAAAAAAAATGTACATTCACTGCCACAGGAAATGCTGCTATTGCATATCAGATGAGGTGCACACCTAACCATAAAAGCACCGCAAATCAGCAGAGGTGGCAGCAAGAAGCAAAGGGAAGTGGCAGGAAAAACATGCAAGTTGAACCCAATAGGAAAGTAGGTTGTAAAGAAAAGTCAACATCCTGATAATATGTAAAGCAGCAAAGCCGTCTACTGGGCATCATTGCTTGACTCATTAAACGTTTGCAAATCTGTGCCAAGTAGCACTATGAAAATGAAGTCATGGAAGGAGGATGGGGTGCCAAGCAGGAAGAGTGAGCTCAAGCCACAGTGTTCAATAAGGAAAATCCTGCGCTTGCCTGAAGCATTTTTAACACCTCCAGCTGGCTGCCGTGGCTCCAAAGCCAGGATCCTATTTGTCAGTCATATGAGACCAAGAGTGAGCATCACATGTGCTGGTTTTTCATTCTTGATCTCTGGACACTCAGGATTTCTGTGGCTAGTAGCTTCCAAGGACAGGACCCGCGGATGTCCTGTCCCAGCTGGGGTAACTCTTGGACTGTTACTTGCAACCTCATTTTTAAGGAAATGATCTGTCAGGGGATGTGGTGGATACTCACAGAGTGTGAAACAAACACCACAGCTTACAACTTATCTCTTCATCACCTTTACGACAGAATGTTTACATCAGATAAAGCAGTTCCCCAGCTTTAAGGGTGGTGTGTATCAGATCTTTGAGGACTCCTGGATGCCACTGGTAACTGTCAACATTTAATTCAGCTGTTCACCTCAGCAGCTTTCTTAGTTCTTGCTTCTTCAAGAGGCAACAGAAAAACATGCAAAAACTGTTGCATGCAGAAAGTATAATGTGACAAAGCCAGAAAAAACAAGATGCCTATTTCAGCAGTTCATGAGTCCAATTCCAAAAACTATTAAAATGCACCATTTTCACACCTTTAGTGCTATAACTTGTAGCACTACCCCAGTATTTCTGTGCCAAGAGCATTGTACATTCAAGACTGCTCTTTTTCAGTTACACTATTACCTCTTCTTCCTCCTCATAGTAATTCCTTTCCTAATTTCCTCTGTTCTCCTTTAGTAGCTATTCTTTCACACCTCTTAACCAAAACTCCAGTCTCTCTGATCTCCAAGAAACACCCAAGCCCTCCCCCACAGTCCCAGCTTGCAGTTTGACTGCCTTTCCCTGGTACAGTGGTATAACCCAGAAGTTGTATCTTCTTTCAGCATTCACTCTGGATACTTTTTGTTTAAAAAAAAAAAAAAAAAAAAAAAAAAAAAAACCCCCAAACATTTTATGTACCCTCTGTTTGCTGCTATCACTAAAAAAAAAAAAAAAAAAAAGTCTGGGGAAAGGCTCCAAGGACATCATACTGCAAGGTGAATCCTTCTTAGCCCCACAATGTCTAAGAACACTAGTAAAGCCATATGACTTACCCCACTGCATGCCATGGAGAAGCCACATTTGATTAACAGGAATCATAAACCAACGCAGTTCATAAATTCTGCCAGGATAACAAACCACTGTACCAACTCCGTAGGTGGTTTCCTTCAATAGAAAGAGGATTTCATAACAACATGGGCAAAGGCATCTCAGTCTTCAGTAATTTATTAGCCAGTGGTCACAGATTTCATTCAGTATTTGGCAATCCCGGAATCAAAGCTGCTTTGACATATCCCACCGAAAAATGTTGGAACCGCATCTATCTTACCAAGTTCTCAGTTATTATCTATGGTTATGTGGGGTTTATTTGAAAGAAGCACTATTAAAGCTCCAATTAAAAAAAAAAAAAAAAAAAAAACCACAGTACAAAAACACTTTACGAAGAAACCAGTTTACAAGTATGGCCATTGAGAGCATTACAAAAGGCTCTACTGTGCAGCTGCAGAAAGGAGCCAATGAAGTGGCATTGCCAGAGTGAACTGAGCTCACAAAGCAGCAGTTTAACTCTTCCCTTGGAAAGAGAAGCTGATCTGGAGTGCCAGACACATCACTCTTGAATATTTGCATCAAAACATTTACCATTTCTCACTGATGCTGTAGAAATGCTCTTTCACTGTGCCATGCTCAATTCGGCGCTGAATGTTTGTAGCCCAGAAAGGAGAGTTGTTAAAATTTGGTGAGTCAAAGACAAATGCCTTAGAGAAAAGGGATCACACAACCAGTCCAAATCTGTCTGAAAGGTCTGGAGATCAAATTCAAATCCCCAGAACAGGAGGAAAAGAGTGACAGTGTTTGCTCAGTCTGAGAGCCTGAGTGTGCTGACAGACATCATCATGCCTTGGCAGGACAGGCTGAGACACTGATCTCTCTGCCATGCCATCTGCTTCTTACAAAGTTACCTTCCTTATTGTAGCTTTTTACTCCGGTGTGCAATGCGTTAGCTTAAACTGTCTGAGAAGATGAGTACAAACTGGTATTAGCCAGACGAATCTGCAAACACAACAGACTGTGTTCAGAAGGCAGCTGAGACATGGGCCTGTGTTTGGTGAGCAGGTACCAGCAACAGAAAGGCAGCCTGGACACAAGGAAGGGACAAGTGGTAAGTTCTCCTTGCAAACTCATCACAGCATGCATAACATCACAAGATAAATATACAATCACTCTTTTAATCACAGATGATGCAGTGTTAGACTATTTTCACAAGAGAATAAAATTCTGGGGAGTAACACCAGCTACCAAAATCAGTCTAAAGCAGAGAGTTGTCAGGAAGGATGAATAAAATGAGGTGGGAACGATACACAGAAGTTTCTTTGGCCATACCTCTGAAGTAAAGAGAACTTTTATTTAGATACTTTGGAAATCACACATCTACTTTCACTATCACTTGCCAATAAAAAATAAAATTAAAAAAAAAATCATCAAAGCTCTAGGAAACAGTAAGCTTACTTCTCTGGGAAGTCTCTTGTGGAAATGGTGTTGTCCGCTCTCACCCAGCGCTGAGGGTAGATGTGTGGGTCCAAAGCAATGGCACATGAGGTCTCATTTGATTCAGCAGAGTCTCTGCCCAAGAACTCAGCTAAGGCAGAGAGCCAGCATCGCTTCTATTTCAGTGAAGAGAGGCTTAAAGGCACAGTGTCCCACCTCAGTACCCCCTAAAAAGCAATTTAATAAGCAGTATCTATCTAAAGGTATACTTTATTGGATGCAAGATTATTTTTTCTTATTCTTCATTTGGTTAACGTAGTTGGAGAGCCTGGAATTACCAAGAACTAACATATAGCAACAGAGTATTTGGCTCGTGGAAAGCAGGAAAGAATCAGTTCCAGTCTTGAAGACGTGGCTCTCAGACTGGGCCTCTCCTCGCAAAAAATGCAGTCATTCAGGTTTTATTCTTAAAACTGAAACCATGAGCTTTCACTCCATTTGGAAAAATGCCCAATTCCTACTTCCGCACGCTGACGTCCTGGCAGAACTCGGGTTGCTACCTCTTATTTGAGGGTGTCCCCATGAAGTAAAGCTAGAAACAGAGGGTGCCAGAGCCCTGGAACAGGCTGCCCAGGGAGGTCGTGGAGTCCCCTTCTTTGGAGATTTTCAAGACCCGCCTGGATGCAGCCCTGAGTAACATGCTCTAGCTCTAGGCAATCCTGCTTCAGCAGGGGAGTTGGACTAGATGATCTCTATGGTCCCTTCCAACTCTAAAAATCCAGTGAAATTGAGTGAAATTCAGTGAAACAGGTGAGCTGGTCCTTGAACACAAAAGCCTCCCAACAGTCATTTGTCCCCTTCAGCCTAAAGAGAGCTGGAGGAGAGTATAAAGGAAAGCATTCACCAGTGAAGAGCACGAAACACTTGCCAGTCTGCACCATTTAAACAAAAGAGACCAAACACAAAACGAGAGAAGTAAAGCTATGACTTGAAACGGAGAGATTCTCTTCACAATCTCTCTAAAACGCCCAGTGCTTTGGTCATAAAACGTTTCCATTTTCATTAGAAGTTAGTACTGTGAGGGGATCTCACTGCACGTTGTATGATCTCCATGTGTAGCTAATTTCTGCTGTGGGATCACACCAAGAACGTGTGTCACAGGTCAGAGATTGTGCTGCCTGCACCCTACGTAACAGACAAGCAAAGGAAAAAGCAACACGAGAAAGAAAAAGAATCATTTATGTCCCCCACTTTTGCTTCCCCATCAGTCTTAGCGTATTGACAGAAATTAATTTCTATAGGAAGGGAATTGCACTGTTTGCAAAGCAATCCTCTAGGATTTATTGATCTTTAAGAAAAATCTCATTAAGCAGAATAAGGAAAATTTACAACAGGTATGGGAAAACAAAACAGTCTCTTGGGATCTTCACCAGGCTGAAACAGGATTAGCTTTGTAGTTTCTGTAATCTTCCTCACAGAAGAATGCTAATTCGGTCTCATTTGCTAGAACGAATAAAAAATTAAATATTTAGCACACCAGTAAATGAACCACCCAACAGCCAGCTATTTAAAATCTTCGAAGACAACTGGCAACTATTTGGTCAAAGACAACTATAAATTACCCCACTTCGCCCCCCCAATATTTTCACAAAAAAAAAAAGAAAAGAAAAGAAAAAAGATTCCAGTATTAAAGATGTCATTTAACCTTGGTTAAAGAAAAAAAACAAACCACCAAACATAAAACCCAAGAACCTGAATATATAGAAATAAATATGTACACAAGACCCCTCAAGATTTGTTTAACACAGCCTTCAGAGTTGTTTGTATAAGCATTCAGCAAATTAAGTGACTGCACTTGTAATGCCTTCAAATGCTAGCAAAATAATGAAGCATGATTTTCTCTTTTTTTGTGTCTTTTTCTGTTAGGAAAGGGGAAAAGAAACTATTTTTTCCATTAAATTAGCCTGTAGGTATAATAATTTAATACTTAGAGGATCAGTAGAATATTTTACAGATCACTTTACATTCTCCCTCATGACCCATCAAAATATGTGTCTGAAGAAGTTAATTTTTTGCCCTGCTGATGATTAATTCATGAGGCTTCAACAATATGCAAAGTGAAAGACACAAATTGGCTTCTCCAGCAATACCTTCAAATACCTCTAATTATTCACAGGGGATATGGCAGAGCTAAAGGACCCACAAAGGTTCAGAGCAGTCACAATTCTTTCAACCCAGTAGGTCAAGGACTTCCTCTTCTAAAACAATAAGTCAGCAACATTACTAATTCAGAACAGAGACAAATCTGATGGAAAGCCTTCACAATTATTAAACATGGAATTCTTTAAGGTGCTGAGCCAATAAGTTCCACATTCTTTTTTTAAATTAAACCTGAAGTTAATGAAGTCTGCCTGTCTTGTAAAAAAGAAAAAAAAAAAAGAGCAGAAGGGGTTTTAGAATCTCAACTAGAAAACAGACAAGACTGTTTGCAATGAATACTGAACACGTTATTAACATACACCCTGCTTTTTTTTAAAAAAAAAAACAAAAACAGGCAAGTATTAACTTTGCTGACTAGATAATAACTGTAATAATAATCACTACCACAGAGGCTTTCCTGAGGATACTTATCTAATGTCCTCATAATTTATAACTCTCCAGCCCAACCCTGTAAAGTGCCAAGGGCAATCAACTGCAGCTTAGGAAAAATGTTCTGCCTGTCTCAGAATTTCCCACATTTTCTAACGGCAATTCTGTTTTATTCCAGTAAATCTTGCCCACACTAGACATTGGGAAAATGTAATATGTCAATAGGAGATTTCAAATCGTCTTACTGATTTAAATGAAACTGTACAAAATGAGGACTAGTGGTATGTGCTACCATATAGCACTTCCTTGCTTTACTCTTTGCCACTTCTTATTGAAGAAGAAAAGTAAAATCTTCAAGATTTTACTACAAGGACCTCACACCTAACTTAGCTAATTTTCTTATCAAGATACACTTGAACATATGCATAACAAAATTTAAAATGGCATAATGGCATGCTGCATTTTACAAAGCAAGACTTTTTCCTTTCTATCACAAATACCCACTATATCTGAATGACTAACTACTGTTAAGTTATTCTGAAAAAAAATTAAAAGCAGCTTTAAATTGTTTTTCACCCAGAATAAGCCCCCCCACACAGAAGAGGCTGATCCATTCCATTTTCTTTTCACTGTAACATTTACTCTGATGTTTTGACACCTTGTTTGAGATCACATTCAACTGTTTCACTGCTGTAGCTACAAACCTAGTTTCAAAGACGGATAATATATACAAATACTTGTTAATACCTTTTTCAAAGAAGGTAGCTCTGGACAATGTCATTTCTAATTCAATATTTGACACTGTCATCAGTCCCTCTCCTAAACAGCATTCCCCCTTATGCCTTAGGTAGATAAAAATCATGCTTAAATGAATCTTCTGCTAACTAAATTACAAATCTATAAAACTTGAGTGCCAGTAATCCTCCTTCCAGAGGTACCTTTTTTTTTTCCCCTCCAGATAAAAAGACCCGATTTAGTACAAACAGCCAGAGAATAACTACCATTTATATTATAGGAACGCCCAAAGACCTTTAGAAAAGGTATACTGAGGCCAGATGCAGTGCACCCCAGAGAAAAACGTTAAAGAAATATCGCAAGTCACTTAAAACCAGAAAGTAAATGGCAGGAAACAAAAGAGCCAAGAAATCTATGAGAAAGAAATCCCATTCACTAGCTGGGGAGCAATCAGAGGGCATCAGGAACACAAGGGAGCTTTCTCTGTGAAACCCCTGCCCTTAGAGTGCAGGCAAATCACATTCAAATGAGCCAATGTCCATATCAAGGTGGAATGCAACTACCTCCCTGAAGTACCCCCACTGCCACAAAGTCATTCAGCCACATTTATGAGAAGCCCAAAGGACATCCAGGAACCATCAATTTTATCATGACAGACATTTCTTTACATTACCAAAAGACATGCCCTATATGTAGTCCCCTGTCAAAATGTGAGAAATCAGGTCAAGTTTCAACTCTTTGCTATGTTCAGCACATTCTCTAAATGATACTGCCTGAGCTTTCCTGAGCAATCTGGTTATCAGGCGCTGTATGCTGCACATTAAACAAATCTAATCTTATTTCATTATTCCATGCTGGTTCCACTACTTACATTTCTAACCAAAACATCAGTTTAAATGTTACTGATAAGACTAAGCAGACACGGTACTAATAACCTATCTGTCAATCATTTAAAATTACTCTCAGCAGAATTATAAGCATACCCTCTAAAAATCACAATTTGCATTCTGAACATTTGGAGTGCAGATACCTGCTGCCCTCGGTCCAATGATTTGAATGTACATTATCCCCCCCTTCTTCCCTGAATAATTATCAAGTAGTGTAAAGAGCATCAGGAATAGCATTTACTTTTCAGCAGGCTATCCAAACATAATCAGCCAGTTATCAGCTTAATGACAACCACAATGAACAGCACCTTCAGTCAATACAAATGTGCTCCTACCTACTCCAGCTGCTTTCAGCGTACTGTCTTCTTTCAAAATCAGTTTGTCATCATCTTCCAAACTCACTATAAGTTCACCAGTCTACAAATCAGAGAGAACCAGAATACACAGATAAGAGTAAGAATTTACTGACTGTCTGTGCCCCGGTGTTGTTTGACAGCCCAGAGATTTGCCTGCAATAAAGCACGTTAAAGGGGAAGAATACAGCTAGTAATCATACCTTAGATTTGTGTGCTTGGTGAATAATCTTCATTGTATCTGAAAGAAAACACAACAGTTTTCCTTCAGTAAGGCTTAATAGGCAGGTAACATTGAAAGCTGTACTTGGAGAAGGCAAACAAAGGGGTAAGGTCCAAAATCTTTTATTATTAACAATTTTGTGCATTCAGTCTAAAAGAGGAGAAATTTCCCAGTCCTGCAGCCACAGTCTTAAACCAGTCAATCCAACATTAAGGTACCATGTCCTACTGGGTTTCTATCTGCTGGTTAAATTACAATAATTGCCTAACGACCATCCCAATTGCCAGTCAAAACACATCAATTTAAATGCCACTTAGGGTGTTTTAACCTAACAGGTTTTACACATGCAATTGGGGCAGGAAAAACAGCATTTATGCACTGTCAACTACTACAGTTAAGCTGATAGGCAACAAGTAATTGAGACACAGGAACCTAAACACTGCAGATCATTCCTTGAAATTTTCTTCCTGGTGAAGAAAGCAGCCATGTAGAGATTTTGTTAACTCAGTCCATTTTCCATTAACATGTACAGCCCCTCCTTTTTTTAATCCTGCAACCTCTTCAGTAATATTTATCAGTGATACGTTTCCACAGTGTAGCACTTTAAGAAATTACACTATAAAAAAAAAAAAAAAAATCACTTTACCCTGGCAACGTGGGCAGGGCTTTTTTAACAGAAGGGAAAAACAGGGAAAAATACTGTGGTCACTAAAGTAACCAGATGAGTGCAAAGATCCAGAGGGAATGAAGTTGGAAGATGCCCACACAGCACTAAAGAAAAAGCGAAACAAAAACAAAACCAAAAAATTCAAATTCTGAAGCCTCTGTGTTTGAACAAATTCAGAATCAATCCCTTCCCAGCAAAGAAGCAAAAACCAGTTGTTTGCCTGCTCATTTTCTGTTCTAGTTTGGTTCTGTGCATTAACTGAACACTACATGTGGAAACAGTCTGGTAAATAAGGATGCATGAAAATTAAATTTAGGCTAAATATAGCCTAAATATAGGCTTCAAACTACCAAGAACAAGTAATCTGATGTTCAGAATAACAGAGATCACATTCCCATTCAGAAGTTTGCTTCCTTACCACTCTGGCCCATTTTGAACATTTTATTTAAAACATTACACAAGGTCAAAACTTCTCTGTATTCCCACTAGAGAGGTCACTGAGAAGACAGCCTTAGCACGCTGTCATCAGTGCAGTATTAGAAGCAAGACACACACTAAATTGCAATTACCAGGATCCATCTTGCATAGAAGCATTGCAAAAAGACTAAGCAATCACAGCAAAAATATACTGCAATCATGAAACCTTTTTACCACAGCAAATACAATCCAGCCTCTGCCTGTTAGTTTTAAACTTCTCCATCTACTTTGTCACATTCCGTTCTCTCTAGTCTTAGCTCATTCTCTGAGCAATTTTACTTGTTCACAACTCCACCACTGGCATCCAGCAGTTCACTGTGTCTTCATCTGAGCTACTAAATGGCTTCTTTAACTCTGTTACAGAGATGAAACTGCAGTCTCTTCTCATCCCAGCTAAAGCCTTATGTCCTCTCAATAGCCTTTGCTAAATCATCCCCATTTAGTCCCACTCAATCACATCCCCTGATTTTTATCCTTCCCTTTCTAGCAATACAGCTTCTGTGACAATAGATAAGAAATCACTTCCTAAATCTGATTCTGTGAACTATCTACCATATTGCTCCACATTAATGGAAAAAAAAAAAAAAAATGGAGAAGCAGCTTATAAAACAAGTTGGCACCCAGGCTGCCTTCATCAGTGAAAAGATGGCAATGACAGGGTAGGAAGATGAGAATATTGACTGAGAAGAGTTCTAGACCCAGGAAAAGAATGATGTGGAAAAAGAAATGAAAAGAAAATGAAAGTCACAAGCTCTGAGATGTGACTGAGAGCATCAAGACAAGAGGAGAAATGTGATGGCATTATATATGATGTCAAGAGAACAAAGTGGTGCTGAATTCTGGAGGGAAGGAAGATGCCACAGGCAAGGTGAGAGACAGCCGGGTCCAACCGAGATTTCTGGCACTGCCAAACAAAGCAGAAGATAAAATCTAACTCTTCCTGGCACTATTCATGCAGAAGTATCGCTGCCCTTTCATCACCAAAATACAAGAAAGGCAGTAGAGTACACAAGAGATGCCAAAAACGCAAACCTGGATGATTCACAGCCTGAAGGGAAGGTGAGGAACTCGGCTTTGATTTTTCTGTGTGAAAATTTCCACACAGCCAGCACCATCCCAGTAAAAGTAGGCCCCCACTAACCGGTGTAACAGGTTTTAAAGTTCTGCAGTGTTTTCACCCACATTATGCTCAGTCCTACACAGCACGATCAGGTGCTCAGCCACAACATATGCCTTAGGAAAAACTAAACTGATGCCCTAAGTGATGAAAGAACTAGCAGCAGGGATAGGCAACACCAGGAATACAAGTGATAGCAGCCGTTCTAGGTAAGATCCCCTCATCTAGCCAAAGCCACAGATATTAGGGGGAAGAAGGGCACCTCCAAATTCAAACTTACAGTTACTTAGTTTTTAAGACCTTAAATGATATATTAAAAAATAATACCAATGTTCAAGTCCTTGCCACTTGGGTATCATAAATCTTAATCCCTAACTCTTTTTTCTGCTTTCCTTTTGCACTACCTGTTTTACCATCAGCAAGAACACAAAATGAAATCCTTGGGTTTTGTGTGGTTTTTTTTTTTTAATGGGCAAATACACTCTGTTACCATTCACATGTATTAAATGGGCTCCTCATTCAATTCTTTGAATCACTGAAGAGGAAGGAACAAGAACATGGGAGGCAGAGGATCACTTCCAGCAAAACTCCAAGGGAACTTGTAGAATTGCCAAGTTTAGGAAAAGATACATTATTGACATCTGAGTTAACAAACTCCAAGAAATGAAGTAATTTAGTCTATTTTGAAAGTATATTCTGCCCCAAAGAGATGAATTGCACATGTTCATGCCAATCTTCACAAAAAGCAAATAAACACGTAGCTTTACATTAGAGGATAAAGTCAGCTTAAATGCCACAACAGGCTATTTCATTCCACCAGCTTGTATTTAACAGCTTTCATATTTACTTTGAGCAAAGCTCCCCTGCTTCTCTTACATCATGTAAACTATTTAAGTATATGTCTTAAGCATTTACTGTTTACTGCCTTCAGCCCCCACTTTACCATTCTTGCTGACTTCACAATTAAATAGATATTGAAATACATAGCACAACTACAATTTCAAAGTATTTGAGATCACAAGCTGCTTAAAACAGAGTTAACAGGCACTTATAAACACTATAAAAAAAATACCAAAAAATATCAGCACCAATTAGCAAATAATGTATAACATGCAGTCTCATTCAAAGATTAATACAGAACTTCAAAATAATGGTAAAGTTCTGTAGATGTGATTCCAGTGGCATAACCCCACTTACAAAAGGTAGAGAGAGTTGCAAGCACAGGCAGGCACTGCCACCAGTGTGAGTGACAACAGTAGTTGTCTTCTAAATTGTATAGAAACATATAAAATCAGACACCACCGTGTCTGATTTTACAGGAATTAAAACAAGAAAAAAAGCCCACATACCATACTTGTAATTTTTGAAAGGAGGAGGAAGTCCTGTTCTTGAAGGCACATCTATTAAAATAAAAGCATCAAGTTAAAACAAAGCATTTTATTTGCCATTATTTTATGCACACATCCTGGACACCCTGTACATCAAAATAAATCCATAGGAGTCTTGTTTGAGCATCAAATACTATACTACAACCTTTAGCTCAGGTTCTATAGTTATTCCATATCAGATTAACTTCACTTGAGCATGAACTCCCTCTGAACAAAATGACCCACGAGGACAGCGAGTCAATGCAATTAGGATATGATCACAGAAGTCTGATCCTTCAGAAATCTGCCAGGAACATCCTGTTAATGGTTTGCACAGCATCTCTCTTTACCTTAAACAAACAGCTGACAACTGCCATTGGTAACTGAATTGTTCAGTAAACACAGCCATGCAATCCAGCCACGAAAAAGGAAGGCAAACTGTAAAAAATTAACTCTTTAGCTGTATGCAGGACACAGCCCATACGCAACTGCAAGAACACCAATACCTTCCCTGGTGCCAATGTTCCCAGTGACACCCAGGGATTTAACCAGGGCCTTGGAAGGCCCAGCCAACTGTGGGGTGCTCAGCAGCAAAGCGGCTGAAACCATCATTTCATCAGTAGTTTAACAATTCATCTCAAACCCTGCCTTCAAAACAGATTAAAGGAAGGAATGCAGCTTTTGGACCAGGAACAGCACTATCCATCCATCTGTGGAATGAGGTTGAAAAAAGCCTTGTTCAAGACACTAACTTTGTCCCAAATAACAGTTTTAATACTGCATGGATCAAAAGCAAGTTTCTTAGCATTGTTTTTTATGTTACTCTTCATAACAGCAGCTGTACCATATGTTCTGAAAGTGCCTGTAGTTTGCTAAAAGCATCCTGAGATCTTGCCATGCCCATCACTCTGTAGAAGTATGGAAGTTGCTGAAAACATAATACAGCTGTGAGGCCCAGGGCAATGTCCTAGGAGTTGCTCAAATGTTATCAGCTATAACAGTTCAAGACTTGTTTAAGCTGACTTCATGCAAAAAATTCACATGATATTATTCTGCACCCTTTGAATGTCTCCATTTAGGTGTGTAGAAATACCCCCACAAGATTCAGGTAACACCCTAAACTAGTGAGTCGCTGCGTGGGCTGGTCGACATTAATTAACTTTTAGATACGCTGTCACTTTCAACCAGGCTTCTAAAACATAAAGCCCATAGATGAGTACATCTGCACCACAAAGCTCAAGATGGAGACAGAAACTCGGAAGCAAACACGCACAGCAAGACCTCACAGTGTCAAAAACAATTTTTCAAGATCCTCTCCTCTCACAAATAGCAAACAGACTTGTGTTCCCGCATTCCACATATTGGTGTTGTTCCTAAGGATCAAAGGGTCTCTAAATTCTATTAATTTACTCCTGTTAATTTGTGAATAGCTGCCTGACAGCACCACTCAAGCAGCCTGAGGCACTGAGCCAAATGCAGCAATGCCCTCCGCTCTTTTAGACTGAAGATGGGGATCTGGGCAGGGGGAGCAGTCTTCACAAATTTAGGCATGGCACACTGACCATGGGAGCTCTTATTAACTCCAGACCCCTCATCCAAGGGAGGAGAGTGCACAGGGGACGTAAACACAAATTTGGCATCCCTACCAAAGCCACAGAATTCCCATTCATTTGCTCCCCTCCTCTTTCTTGTGCAGAGACAGCAACGCATGGGACTGAAACGAATGAATAAGACAACGGTCTCTTACCCTTCCGCACAAAATTCATGAACTGCTTTACTGTCTGATCCAAGTTAACTCCATGATACACCACGGGTCTGAAGTTCCGGTGTTCAAAAGAGCGAACAAGGCGGACTGTGATGGTTGGGCTTTCTGCTGACATGAGAATTAATTCTGAATAACCTGGAAAACATTAAGGAGAGGAATTATTGCTTTCCCGTGTACAAGCACAGCTGAAAAACAAGGTGCAGGTGGGCCTCATGCAAAGATTAAAACTTGGCAATAAATTCAATAGCATTACATCCTTCAGGACTTCACTTTTAGTATTTCTACAGTAGCAGTAACAGGATCTCAAAACAAACAGGCTAACCTAGGATATTATTGATACCGCACACCAAATAGTCCAGTATTTGTACCTGTGCTGTGTAATACAGCACCAGACTCCCTGCTGAACACACAAAAGTGTTACAGATAAATGCAAGTATGTCCTTTGGATTTTAAGTGACTGAAGACTTTTCCTGCTGGGCAAGTAACCTTGTGCTCTAAAAGAATTTACTAACATGAATAAAACCAAAACCTTTTTAATATACTTATGTTGTAGAGAGCATAATACCCTGAAAAATGCCTAAGCTCTTACACAACGCTCATTTTCACCTTCCTACAGACAGTGGAAAAACCTCCCGCACATACACATGCAAATAATTCTCCTGGTATACAAAATTACAGGGTTTAATTTAATCTCTAGAATGGGTCTACAGAGGCTTATGCTATTTTAACAGAGAGCAGAACCTACAATGGCATCACCTTCTCAGTCCAAGTCCCTCTTCAAACAAGCCCACACGTTGTTCCACTGGGTACTTTCTTTCCACAGGAAAGTGAGCTATTTTGTTCCCTATCTTAACAATCTTCTCTATTTTTGGTGCTAGGTATTCCTCAACTGCCTTGTTTTCTGGTCACATGCTAAACTGTGGCGGCTGCTGCAGCAGCGAGCAGAGACTGCAGCCCAAGTGCTGCAACATCAGCCAGGGGCACAGCACAACCCCTGCATCTCCTTAGCAGCCATTTCAGTCACTGCTGCCAAGTCCTGCAAGGGATTCTCTTGCCTAGTCACCCCTTTATGTTCTTTTTATGTGTCTTTCCTCTTTTTGCTTTTTTTGCTGCAGGGGGAGATCATTTAAGCACTCCACCATCATGCAGGTACCTCCCAGTCTTTGCTGTATTTGTCCTAGCTGTAACCTGTCAAAGTAAACCAGCAATATTTCCTTCACGTACTTCCTGTAGAAGGGGGACGAAGACCTTCCACATTGCACAGCAACTTGCTTTTACATCCCCTTGGTCAATAATTCCCATTCCATTTTCATTATAAATAAGCTGTGTGATACACAAAGATGCCAATCAAGAAAAGCATATTTTGCACCTGAAAATAACTAGATTTATATTAACCATCAAAGACGGATGTACTCTTGACACTGTTCCACGTGGGCCTGAGACCTGGAGGGCTCAGTACAGGGCAAAGAAAAGGCGATAGCGTTCAGTTCACTTTCTCCTGAGCAGCACAGAATGACACGGTAGGAATATAGATTTGGGAAAACAATTATGAATCGCCGACTTTCACGTTTACTGCACAGATCCAACAGACCGGTCCCATCTAAGGCCTGGACCTGGTACTGCCCAGCACCTCCTCAGGGACAAGATGGCCGGTTCTCCTCAGGGAGCTGCCACCCAGTATCTCCTTCCCGGGGGGAACCTCTCCCGGGCCTGTCCCGCCTCCTGTCCACCGGCAGCAGCACCAGGGCACATGGCGGAGGGCCGCCCGGTCCAGCAGGTCTCCCCTATACCGACCGCCCTCCCCTCAGCCCTCACACCGCCCGAACGAGACCGTTAACGGCCCCCGACCTTACTACCCACTCTCCCGCCGACACTTCCGGGTCTCTCGCCACGCCTCACACAGCCCCACCAATCACGTCCGACAGACACCACTATCCGCGCCGAGGGATTGGCTGCGAGACACCCTGTCCCCACCCCCTAAGGCCAATGTCCAGGCTCACCCCTCACGCTAGCGGGCGTCGCGCCACCTCACCCCCTCCCTCCCCAAGAGCCCGCCCGTCCCATGCCGCCCTCGCATTGGCCCTTTGGCTGGCTTCTCCCCGCCCCCGGCAGGCGCCGATTGGCAGCGCGTCGCCCGTGGCGCTGTGATTGGCCAGCCGGCGCTGTGGCGAGGGGGTGAAGCGGCGGAGCGGTGGGGTGGCGCGGCAGACGCCAGGGGGGTCGGGACTGCGTAAGACTCGTCGCCATGACTGAGGTACGGGATGTGCCGGGGGGAGGCTGGGGGGAACCGGGGGGGCGATGGAGGATGGGTGTGTCTCTTTCCGTCCCGTTCGGTGGTGGCGGGGGGCTTTGGTTGCTCACGACCACCTCTCTCCGGGGCCTTTTCCCCCCTCTAGGCCGCGTTCCAGAAGGCCGCTGAGGAGGTGAAGCAGCTCAAGTCCCAGCCCACCGACCAGGAGATGCTGGACATCTACAGCCACTACAAACAGGCCACAGTGGGCGACGTGAACACGGGTAGGTACCGCTTTGGGCCTTGCCCTCCCCTGCCCGTTGTGCCCCTGGGCTGGGGGAGTGCTGTGCCGTTGTGGCCTGAGGCTGAGCTGGAGGCACTTGAGGGTGGCAAAGCCTCTCCCCTATTGCCCTGCTTCGTGCAATCCCAGTAAAAATGACTCAATACTGACTTGGCGTGGATTACAGGCATACGCTGACCCGATAAGGGTTTGTGCAACTTGTGGTTTTTAGATTAACCCAGCTGCAGTCGTTTAAATCGTATAGCAGCCATCTGAGAAGCCTTTGTGTTAGCTTTGTGCAAATATTGGGTTTGGGATTTTTGGAGACCTTTATCGGTCAGTAGCTGCCTAGGTCAAGGGATGCTGCTTTAATGCAAACACTTCTCAGGTAAACAGACTTTAACAGCAAGACAAACTCTGAAAGTGTGGAATTGCAATACTTGGAGGGGGCAGTTTGTTTAAACTGGATTGGCTACTAAAAATAGTATTGGAAAGCCAAAATAGAAGAACAGGAAAAGAACTTTTACAGGTGTTGCAATTATCTTGGAAGGACTGTAGCAGAAATATCTCTGCGGGTACACTATGCGAAATCTCTCCTGTTACTTCTTTTGCTACACTTCTGTCACTGGCAACTCAGCTTAGGAACAAGAATGGAGTCTGTCTCTACTGACCTTGTGCAACACTTGAGTAAAGTAACTAGAATTAGAAAGGAAAAAGGTCGTTTGTTTGGAGCGCTGGCCGCCTGACCCAATTGCTGGTGAAGTTTATTGGGTGCTCATTTAATTGAAAGCTGGCAGTTAAGTGTACAGGGAAATTGTGAGTATGGGCACTTGTCCTTTCTTTTTCCCAAGATGGACAGCATTGAGAGAGAAAAGAACTGACTTTGGTTTTAAGATACCAAAGATACCATCCTTTTGATGTGGCTGGACATCAGCATTGCTAATGTTTGCCAAGGTGAAATGGTGCTATAGAGCTGTTAATAAACCAACGCTTCTGTAAGTTGCTGCGTTCTTGAGAAGCAGGAGCTGGCTTGAAAGGCAGTAGGAGTGAGCTAGTGGGGTTTTTTTTTTGTTGGAGAGAAGTGGAGCTGCCAACTAGCTCTGCAGGTCACATTGCCATGTGAGCAGCACAAGGGTCTTTTTGTGGCTACTGTACAGGCTACTGTCCAATTCCATTTGTTAACCCTAAGACTTCTCAGTAAGGAGACTGAGAAGAAGTGAAAACACAGAGGGGACTTTGTGTTAAGAATAACCATATACACATCCATATCTCATCCATTTCTTCTCTGTTTAGCTACAGTGTGGCCTGTCACGAAGTGAGCTAGAATTCAGTGCTTGTACCCCTAGGTGGCAGAATGAATGAAGAGCTGTATGTTAGAAACATACCATTAACATGACGATAATGAGTTCTAAGCTGTATGCTACTAGCTTTTGGTTTCATGTCTCTGCTTGTAATGAACCTTAGGACATTTCTGCTTTACTTTAGAGCTGATGATTCTTTATTCTTTAATCAGATAGCTGTCACGCAACAGTAGTCTCTTCAGAAAGTACAGTAAGAGCAAATCACACTATCTGGTGCTCTTCTGCTCAAATGCTCCTGTCTTAAGGGAACTTGACAGAGACTATCTCTGTGGCCACTGATAGCATTCCAGCATGCTCCCTTCAGCATCAGAGCAGATCTCCTGACTACAGGTTAGTAATAGCTGCAGAAGTGAACCACTGGGTTTTATCGTAGTTAAGAGCTAAGTAGCCTTCAGGAAAGGAGTAGGTATTACCTACACCTGGACCACACCAGCTAATTCTGCTGCTTATGCTGTCTCTCCTAGAGCGCCCTGGTATGCTGGACTTCAAAGGCAAAGCAAAGTGGGATGCCTGGAGTGCATTGAAAGGTAAGTGTCTACTTAAAAATTAATCCATAAAACCACAGGCAAACTAGTCAGAAAAGCATATGTGGTTCAGCAAGAAATTAAGTAGTGCTGCCTTATAAGACACGAGTTCTAGAAGTTCATAATGCTGTGATAATAAACTCTTACTCTTGATTACCTCTGCAAGGCAGGAGTGATCCTGAAAAATGTAGCCTGTGTGAGAGGAAATCATGGTGCAAAATTCCCAGCTGGCCCAAGCTGTTACACAAAGGAGAACTGTAGCAGCAGCAGAAACCTACACCTTTTCTAGGTTCTAGCCTGGTACCCTAGAGGCTGAGCTCTCCTTCCAGTTGTGTTTCTTCTAAAGCTTTCCTAACTGGAAGATGCAGCTGGACTCTCCTCTCTAAATAAGGAGTGAAATAAGTGGTCTAATCTATGAAAATGGGATTTTTCTGGTGTTTTAAGGAGCCAGCACTGCATCTCAATGCAGCCAAAGTTGGTAGAAGTCCCTTCCTGTAGTAAGTGTGAATGGCTTTAATAGAACTAATACCCTGTTTAGTTGCTGTCTATACAAATACAACTTTGCTTCGAAACACGGGGATTTTTTGTGACTGCTGAACACCTTTGCTTAAAGCTGTAATGCTGGCTTCTCAGCTGAGTGACCTTTTTGACTACTTTCCTCTCTGGTAGCATGCAGTTACGTGCTACAGCAAGGAATTGTGACTTGTGTGCAAAAGGTGTCTTGATGTGTAAAAGGTGTCTGAGTGCTTCCTGTGTTCTGTCCTTCAGGAATGTCCAAAGAAGACGCAATGAAAGCTTACATAGCAAAAGTGGAAGAACTAAAGGCCAAATACGGCATCTGAGGACTGGGTATAGCAGCCACTTGCACACTGAAACATGCCTTATTTCTAATACTGTGGAAAAATGGTTTCTCATAAAAAAAAATGTTAAGTACCTGGTATATTATAGTTGGCTCTCCTCATGCCTGTAGTTCAGGGGAAGCTGTGTACCCGCCTAATGTACTGACACATTATAAATTCCTTCTGGGAACAATATCTGGAACTCATTAAAGTGCATTTGGTACTTTAGCTGTTGTGGTGGTCAATCCCTTAGCGATTATTCCGAGTTTATCCCTTAATTGTCCTGTGGCGGCTGCCAAACGCTTCCATGCGAGGCGCAGACCAACCTCCCCAGCCCTTCTGCCACTAGAGGGGGCTCAGTCATCTTGTTTGGTGTCCAAACACCACCGGTGGGGTCTGGTACTGCTTTGCTTCCTTTCTCCTGGTGATAAATGGCATCCCGCAAGAGCTGGAGCACCACCAAGAATGTCTATACTAAGAGCAAGGTGCTTGATACTTGTTGCCTGGGGCTTTCTGAGACTTGCTCAACAATTGCCAAAGCATGTTTTGTAAAACGCTTGGTGGAGATGTTACTCCCCAACACAACAACGTTAGGGTCCTGGAGAGAAGACCAATACTCAGCAGCTGAACACAAAACCTTCCCTGTGAAGGAAAAGGTTCCACAGAGAGCAGAGGTGGTCGTGCCCTTGATACCGGAGCCCTGTTGTTGCCAGGTACTGAGCAGTGAATCAAGTCTAAATTGGCTTAATGCTTACAAGGCTGTTCAAACGGGAAGACCTACAGTGATCATCATCATTTTTTATAGAAAACCCACAGTTGTGACCATCTCCAGTAGGTTTTTACCAATTTTGGTCTGTCAAGGCCAGAAAGGGAGACTTTTATTTTTTTTTTTTTTTAAATGTGGTGCTGAACTATTCCAGCATAGAGCATGTGAGGATAAAGTCACAACCTCATACAGGAATAAGGCATTCTGATTCCTGCTGTGCTGGCTGGCGTCTGAACAGGTGAGCACTTCCAATCAGACTGCCTTCAGGTAAGCAACCGATTTATAGAAATCCATAGGGATGAAACCTATCATTTCTTATCTCTTCAGGTGAGTACATCTGAACCGAGTTACACAGGCTTTGCTGTGCTCCTTGCCTAATGTGTCCTAAGAGACTTTACCTTGCTTGCTTTTAAAAATTATAACTTCCTCCTGCGCCAGTTTTAATGGGGAATGCTCTTACAGCTACTTGTTCACCCTTTAAAGTGTGTTAGGATAAAGAAGGGTTTGGTCCTTGTTCTCATAAGGAAAAAGGTTGCTTATTCTTGTCCTTCCCTGTTTTGCTGGGTAAGTAATGTAGGCGCTTGGGGTGTTTTTTTACCTCCTCTTGTATCCTCTGTTGATTATTTGTACCTTGCAGAAGAGGGGTAGAGCAGATGTTCAGCATGAGAGATGACTTGAGCTCTTTGCCAGCCCTAAATTCCACAGCCAGCTCCGTCTTCACAGCTGTATTTTTGTGAAGCTGGTTGTCCCTGGAGGACTC